TTTAAGATAAACAGCACATTGAGATAAAATTGCAAGAGTTGGCAACAGTGGTATTACCTGAGGCATAAGCTTACATTAGTATTGTGCTCTTTTCACAATGGCTACCAAAGTATTTTACAAACTATATACAGGAATGAAATACACTTTTGTGTTGCTATCATAGCTTCTGCTGACACACATTGGTAAAATACAGAAGTACAGAACATGCAAAGCACATCATATAAGCCCATCTATTCCATACAAATCCTGATATTTACATAATGAATTTGTCAGGATTTCAACGTGCTTTATAAATCATTATAGAACGCCTAAAACAGTACAGTAGGTGGCGGCTGGGCAACTAGTGTGCCATGACTGCTTCTTATCAAGATTATCATAATTGTCTCAGTTATCTTGTGCTCCCTTTATTTGTTTTAATTCTCTTGTTTTCTGTCATCATATAGCTAAATTGTAAGCTTCTTGAGACTAGGACAGTCTTTCTGCTAGATGCGTATACAGTGCCTAGCCTAATGGAGCCTTGCTGCCTGCTTAAAGTCTCTAGTACTACCACAATATAAACAATTGAGGTAGCAATGAGATATATAGGGATCCCCTTGTCTTGTACTGAAATTCAGCCACCCATCACTTTAGCTAATGTATATTTGTCTGTCCTTGAAATCTTGCCAAATACCATCAGATATTTTCTATATTCTTAGGCATCTTGATCCTTTGTTTCCTTTTTGACAAAAAACAAAATATTCAGTTTCAAAAACCAAACACATTTAAAAAAATTTGAAAACAAATTTTACCAAAAAGTTCTGTTTTTCAGTTTGTCATCAATTATTTTTTAATTTAAAATTCAATTATTTTTTTTTCTGCCAAAATTTTTGTTTTTGAAAAGACCAATATTTTTTGTCCAAATTTTTTTGATGGAAATATTTTGACTAGCTCTACTGGAGACAATGCATATGCAGAACTCACATTTATAATTTTTAGACTGCAAGAAGAAAAATCTCCCTTTATTCTTTATTAAAACTTTTTCACATCTGATGTGGATGTGTCCATTTAAACATTTTATTTACTTTCTCGCCCTTAGCCTTATTTGGGGTAGTTTTATAGGTTTTCATCTAGCTCTCTATAGCTGTGTCTGTACTAGATTTTTTGGGAATCTCCCACCATTGCACTAGCTAGCATTAAGTGGTTGTTACAATGGGAGTATTAATACAGACCACTTGCTAACTCAAAACTCCATGTTATCTAATCCTACACAAAACAAGTCTATGTGGTAAAAATGCCTGTGCTCTGTCACCATTGCTACAGCAGAGATTGTAGGATCTGCACTATTTCTGGTGCAACAGTAGATTTCCCAACAAATGCTATTGTAGACAAAATTAATGTGGTGTATATCACTGTGTGAATTGGGAAAATGAAAGAAGAAATGTTTTGTCAAGTTAGTAGAATTTCATGTTTGCCTAGAGTCTGGGAATGACATCATGTGCACAACAGGTTTATTTTTCCTAACATAAATGGCAGTATAAATAATACAGTAGCATATTGAGTTCATTGAGAAGTACAGTGTCTGTCAGGTAGATATTAATAAGTACTTTTTAAAGTTAAAATCAAAGTTCTTTTAAAATGTATAATGTGCAGTTGGTTTTTCATCTGTAACTTTATTGTTATAAAGAGACTTACAAGTGCTTGTTGTTATGACATCTAATCTGAAGCTGTAAAATAAGCTCTTCCAAACTGGTGAAGCATCTGCTTGGAAATTGTAAGCAGTATATTCATACCCTGGATGGATTAGGTAACTTGTGGTTTCTCGTTTCAGCTAAGGCTACAAATACCATATGTGTTTACCATATGTTCTCTGGCTTTGTCCCAACAACAAATTACATGAGATCTTCATGCATTTTTTTTTATATCAGAGAGTAATGGAAAGCTTTTCTTAAAAATGCACTCTTTATTCTGTTAGTCACATTTGCATAGCACGCCACAATGTTGTCATAAAGCAACTATGCTATTATTAAAAGATGAAGTCCAACAAGTTAATTCTGATTTTGATTCAGCACTTAGGCATGAGTAACTTTACATAGGTGACTAATCCTTTGGAGCTCATAGTTATACTCATGTAAAGTTACTCACGTATGTGTTTGTCAGAACAGAGTCTAATAGTTCCCATATCTGTGCTCAATATAAAAAGATACTGGGGCTGGGGGTGGAGAGGAGATAAGGGGTAGCATTTTCCCGAAGGGTTGGGGAGGATTAGAGGATCTGTTTCTGATGCAGCAGCCCATATTCTGGTGTGATTAGTGCCTGTGCTCTAGAGGGTGGGGGACATAGGTCAGGGCTCTGCAGGAAACCGGGATCAAACCAAGTGGAACCCTTCCTAGTTATACAGAGAATCTTACTCCTCAATGCTTCTTTCATCCCCATATTTCAGCCATCCAAGTTACAATGCTATTATTGGTTCCAAATCAAGATCTGTGTTCTGTGATCCCTAAAAGGGGAAAGATAATGACACTTTGAGCATAATGAATGAAATCCATCTTTTACACGTTTTTTAGGCATGCCTACAAAGAGAAATGGAGCACATGGACCACCTGTTCCCTGGCAGTCCACTGTAGCAAGGCCACCCTCCTTTCAATTTTGTACAGGCAGCCTGTATGGAGAATAAGTGGAGAAGCTGGTGGTAAATATATGGAGTGCAACATTCCATGCTGCTCTTTCATCTCTAGCTGGGTTCCTGCTGCTCTGCTGTGGGTTCTTCTTCAAGTCAAATAATTTGGGGGACTAGAGAGGTCTAAAATGCCCTTTATATATACACAATAATGAGTGATGATGCAGCCTCTAAGTTGTTGGGGCAGGTGATCATAGTGTAGGACAATACCATTTTTTAAACAGCCCTGGGAAGATCAGAGTCTTGCCAAAGTTGTTGGTGTTTATGTATTAAGGCCCAAATGCTGTACACTGTGTGTGTAAAATATTAGCACCGTCCGAGTAAAATCCATTTTATGACAGGATGCTAGAGCTGTTTTAAGATAGAGTAACTCAAAAGAACTGAGGAATTTTGAACTATTTCTCTTGTGTTGCTGGGAAAGCATCCCTTTGAAGAAGTGAGTACAGTTAATGATATTCTATCAAACATCATAATGTTTGGAGAATTTTTTAAAAAGAGATCTTGACTTACAGTTTAATAATAATGGAATATGAAGGCTTGGCTGTACTGTAGAAGTTCATTTCACATTTAAATGTTTAGCAATCTCATCAGTCTGTGAATAGAAGAAAATTTATTACATTAAGATGGAATTTAGATCTTTGACATGAAGCTGATATTTTCATACTATGAGAAATATCAGGCTGACATTATACTGTCTTATTTGATGACTTCCAAATGTCAGAGTGCAGTAACTTATTCATGGGGACCTCAATGTCTTGTGATAGTGTCAATTTAAAAGACATTTACATTGACTTATTTTTTTTATTTAAACATGTAAAATGGAATATGCAAAGTAGATTAGGAAAAGGGAAAAAAACTGGTGGCAAGAAAGTTCTGTTATTAAACAGAATGAGGCGATTTTAAGGCTAATTTCCACAGATGCTTTCCTGACAGCTTCAGGAACTACCTAACTTCTGACAGCTTCAGTCCTGGTTTTTTTCCACACTATTTCACTCATTTTCAGCTCAGCCTCCCAGTATTTCTTTATTATTTTAACAGGATTTAAGGAATTAAAAATAGCAGTAGGTTTATTTTTCAGTTTTCAAAAACTGCTTTTAAAATAAAATTTTAATAAAAAAAATGGACCCCACTGATGTCAGTTTTTGTATAGTCTTTATAACATCCTGCCGCAAATGGAGTGTGGGGACTTTTAAATACAGACAATATTTAATGCTATCTTATTGTTCATCATACTACCTTGGCGTTAGATATAAATCTGGTAACTCCAGCTATGAGAGAGAATTTAGGGGGGCCTTCTCTATACTTTGACCATTAGAGAGGAAGGATGGTCTTGTGATGAAGGTTCTAGATTGGGATTTAAGAGATGTAGGTTCAATTCTAGGCTCTACCCAGACTTGCTGTGTGATCCTGAATAAGTAATTTCCTCTCTCTGCACCTCAGTTTCCCATCTGTAAAAAGAAGATAATTCCCCCTCTCCCGCTTGTCTGTTTAGATTGTAAATTCTTCAGGTACTCTCTCTTACTATGTATATATAGTACAGCATAATGGTTTGGTTCACTAAGTGCCAACGTAATACAAACATTCATATTTGGAATTAATGGTCTTAGAAGAATTTTGTTAATGCTTTCACTATGTTGATTAAAGGCAACATTTTAAAAAAGGAAATAAGTCTATGAAAACTGACTGTCTCTGCCCAGGTGGTTCAGCACTAAATATAGGAAAGTGTCCATTCAGATGGGGGCAATTAGAAAAGCATTCACTGACACCAGTTGGCTGCTTGATATAGGATGTCAGAGCAGTTTAGGATTCCAAGAACCATATTTAATCTCTGAGGCAAAAGTGCCAGGTGCCCTGCAGTACTATTCACCCTCACTGGAAATTTAACTGTAGGATTTGCTACCAGATAAACACTATAATCCCCTGCATTGACTATTTATTTTTATTATTACTGTTTAGCTCTGTAACTTGATTAAGCCTCACAACGCTCCTGTGAGGCTGACACCTTTTTATCCCTATTTTAGAGAGGAGTAGCTTGAGGCCCAGAGGGGTTCTATGAATTTGTCCAAGGACAACAGCAAGAAGGTGGCAGAGCTGAAAACTGACGGCAGGAACCGGCTCGCACAGTCCTTGACACTAAGCACGAGGCGGCACTTCTAAAGACAAGCGTTGGGTGCTACTCGCTGCGGAATTCACGGAGCAGCTCGGCTGGGAGGGACCCGGGCACGGCGTAGGCCTCGTTGCCCGGAGCGGGGCTAAAGCATGTAACACGTGAGCTGGTTTGTTCCAAACAAGGGCCATGAAAGGCGCGGTGCGGTCGGTGAGCCCGTTGCCTTGGGGATTCCCCCTCTGGCGGAGCGGGCCGTTGCACCGAAACCCGCGCTGTGAAGTGAGGAGGGAAGCGGCTAGCTCCGCCCGGCGGGCTCGCTGACCTGCCGGGGCGCCCCCTGGCGGCCGCGGGCCCGGCTTACGCCCCCGCAGGGCGGAGGAGGGTTCTAGCGACGGCGGAAGGGGAAGCGGGAGCGGAGCGCTTGGCAGGGGCCGGTGGTCCCCATGTCGGCGCTAGCCCTGGAGGAGCTCTCGGCTCTGACGGCTATTTACTGCCAGCGGGATGAGTGCGCGGTGCTGGCCGTGTCAGGTGATTGTCGCGGCCGCAGGCGGGGCTGCTGTGCCGGCTACAGGGCGCCAGAGGCGGCCGGCTGCCCCCATGGCCCGACCCGACCCTGCTCGGAGAGCTCGGAGCCCCCGGCCTGCGCGGGTCCCGTGGGGCGAGGCTGGGTCAGGCCGCAGGACAGCGTTTATTTCCGCAGCCCCCTGGTCCCCTCCCCGCAGAGATGCCACTTTGCCCAAGGCCGAGCAGCCAGTAGCCCCTGACAGCTAGGCAGCACTTCGTAGCAAATCCTCCTCCCCCCTTCCTCGCCTCGTTTCCTTCCTACCTACCGACCTGGCTCCTTAGCGGTTTGTGTCAGTGGAGATTTCCTATGAGTTGTAGTGGGAGAGCGGGTCAGTGAAGGTGGGATCTGGGATGGGGCAAAGGTGGTGGGTGTCTAATCCGGCCAGTATTCAGCATAGCTCCCCTTTTCCCTACCGGTTCTAGGCAGACTTTTGCCAAGTCTGTCCTGAATTCAGGAGTCCCATCCTGTGCAGGATGGAGCGCTGGCCTGTGGTAAGCATTGTCAGACAAGTGCTAAGGGATACCTCGGGTGTCTTCTCCCCTGGAAAACTGGTAACCTTGTTCCTTTAACTCCTTGCTGTCCTGTGGCTTATAAGGTTGGCGAGTGGTCCATCTACCCCAATATCCTACCTTCTGCCAGTGGCTGGTGCCAGATGCTTCAGAGAGAATGAACAGGACAGTTACAGAGTGATCCATCCATGCCCAGCTTCTGGCAGGCAGAGATTTAGGGCACCCAGAGCATGGGTTGTGTTGCTGGCCATCTTGGCTAATTGCCATTGATGGACTTGTCCTCCATCAACTTTTCTAATTCTTTTTTAAACCCACTTATACTTTTGGCCTTCACAACATCCCCTGGGAATTAGATCCACAGGTTGACTGTGTGTTGTGTGAAGAAGTACTTCTGTATGTTTTAAACCTGCTGCCTATTAACTTAATTGAGTGACCCCTGGTTCTTGTATTATGTGAAGTCATAAAAAACACTTCCTTATTTACTGTATCCATACATACCATTCATGATTTTATAGACCTGTATCATATTGCATCTTAGCTGTCTTTTTTATAAGATGAACAGTCCCAATCTTTTTAATTTCTTCTCAAATGGAAGCTGTTCCATACTCCTTAATGATTTTCCTTTTTTATCAGGTGTACTATCAGTTTAATATTGGATGCACTTTCTCTCCGGGTCTGTGCTGTCAGGGCAATAGACTAGATGATCTAAGAGGTCTCTAGCATCTATGAAAATTAAAAACCTTTCCATAATGTACCCTCACTGCAAGCACTACCCTTGCATCCTACCTGTCTCCTAGCATCTGCTTGTGAGCTGAGCTAAGCATTCTTTTCTGCTGCCAGCTACCTCTGAAGAAACCTAGACTCCTCTGTGGTGCTTTGCAGAAGTTCACTATTAGACTACTAAACAGTACTAATGCCCATAAAATAGGTTTCCAATATGTTGGCGAAACACTTAGCTTCTCTGGACTGCAGCATTATAAAATGCGTCACTATCAGAATTTGCTTCCTATAGCAAATTCTGACAGTTTATCTATTTTTGCATGCTTTCCCATCACAAAAATGCTACTGTAAATAACTCATTTAATCTCTTGCCTTTTATTAGTGGTAGCAAATTCAGAAAGGTGTCTTTTGCCTGTCAATTTCCTACCATGTATCTTTACTGTTTGCATCTTTGGCACAGGGCAAATCTTAATGGGTGTCACTCTCCTGTCACAATTTGCTATCTCCTCTAGTTCCCAGCATTGGACCTGCATTCAGTAAATAACAATAGGTGAATGACACCAATCAGAATTTGCTATCTACCAGTGAAAAGTGTAACTAACCTGATAAGCAGTTATACTTGAGATAAGTAACAAGGCTTGGAGGCCACATAGGGTTGTATAATGTTTAATAGATGGTAGCTATCATTATGCACATGGGGCCTGAATCTCAATCACTCCCGCCCTACACTTGGTGCAGCGATCAAAAGTGTCTTTGTGCATGTTTGTGTTCCCCATATTCTTGAACTGCATGGGTTCGGCTTGGTGTAAGTTAGACCATCCTCAGGGCTTCTGTAATTTATGGTCTGCTTCCCAGGGCTCCCTATGGGTCCTGGGGAAGCAGAGAATAGCCATAGTGTGGTGCACTCTGGTCAGGCCCCCTATGCTGGAGGCTTGAGAGCAGGGTAAATGTAGAGCCATTACACTAGTTCTTAGAGCAGCCAGGGTGGCCCCTACATGTAGGATATTCTCAGGGGGCCGTTTTTACCCACGTGAAGATCCCTTTATGCTGTTGGAGTGATAGAAAAGGACCTACCCTACAGTTACAATCAGAGCTGCAGGACCCTATTTAAAGAAGACCATAACTTTATCCCCAAACCATGATCAAGCCTTAGAGTTTATCTACAAGCATACTGGGACTGAAATAACTTAATTGGTTTTAATTCATGTCTTTGTTATTTTGGTGCAAGTTTTTGTGTGGATGTTCTTAAAGAAGAGCTCCATGTAGCTTGAAAGCTTGTGTCTTCCACTAACAGAAGTTGGTCCATTAAAAGATATTACCTCACTTACCATGTCACTTTTGTTTCAGTTAACTTAAATCAGCAGGGTATTGACTTAAACTAAATCAAAGTAAGACAATTTTATTATGAAATGTGTGTCCACACATAGACCAAAATAAAAGGTGTGATTTAAACTGATTGTGTACAAACTACCACTGAAATAACTCAAACTTTTAGACCAGGGATCGGCAACCTTTGGCACGCGGCTCGCCAGGATAAGCACTCTGGCAGGCTGGGCCGGTTTGTTTACCTGCCGCGTCCGCAGGTTCGGCTGATCGCGGCTCCCACTGGCTGCGGTTCGCCGCTCCAGGCCAATGGGGGCTGTGGGAAGTGGTGCGGGCCAAGGGATGTGCTGGCTGCGGCTTTCCGCAGCCCCCATTGGCCTGGAGCGGTGAACCTGTGGACGCAGCAGGTAAACAAAGTGGCCCAGCCCGCCAGGGTGCTTACCTGGCGAGCCGCGTGCCAAAGGTTGCCGATCCCTGTCTTCAACAGCCAAAGAAATTAGCACAATTCAGGGGCACTTTTAATGATCTGTCAACACTGCAAAATAGAATTGTATTGTGACTGGGTACCCCTGACATGACACACATTACAGTTTTCCTAGACTAGAATTAAAAGTCATAGTTTTAAAACATCTTAGCTAAGACATTTTAAGTGAAACAGTTGAAGTTTAATTTTTACTAAACAAAAATCTGATTTTTCAGAAAAATGATTCCAAGCATAATTTTAAACTGTAGCATCCAAACTATAGTTAAGTAACTTAGTGGGGTATTATATTAAAAATACAATCTTTCCCAAATATTGCACACTCATGTATTTCTTGGATTCTATTAGAGGAGTTGTGCCTTTTTTCATATATAGAGAGAATGGTCTCAGATGTTCATAAGTGATTAAATGTAAAAGGCTCAAAACCCTTCCTAGAACATAGGATTAAATACCATGAATATGAATGAACACAGTATTATATTTAAATTATCTCAATGTTATATGACTTTGCATGGCTTTTAAGCAAACTCTCTTTACAATCCATTGGTCTGTCATTTCTCAGACTGATCTCTAGCATTCTCCACTGGAATCTGAAAAATGCTTTGGGTGTGGACATTGTTTTGTAATTGATTGATTTTGTAGGGAATTTCCTGCTCTTTTGGATTAGAGATGCAGAATCCCTGAGTTTGTGCAAACTGAGGTCTTGCCGCTTATGTTATTATTTATTATATTATACTATTTGCTTATGCTTAATTTTCTCTGATAATACAACTTGTCATTAACAGGGCACAGAGACACTTTACATTAAGGTTTCTGTGTTAAATGATGTGATCTCTGAGAAATTTAGGTTATTCCTGGGTTGATTCACGTGGTCAGAAAAGGGGCCTTTAGGGACTGATGGTTTTGAGGGATGTAAGGAGAAGCTCTTCCACATCTCCTGGTAGACTAAAACCTTTAGCTTTCTAAGGTTTAACAATGATGTGCTTAAGATGCAAAAGATGTTTCTTATTAAAAATGTGTTGATTAATTTAAATGAGCTAATTACAGTATGTCTCTCTTACTTTACATGCCTCTTTGGAAGGATTAGTATTACAGATAGAATTCCATAATTTACTAGTTAATCCACTGTCGTCTTTCTAGTTTGTTTAGTAATCTTGCAATAAAAATATATGTACATATTCAAAGCTTGTACTTTTGTAGGTAGTTTCTGAGTTAAAAATGGAATGTATGTGTTGCATACAGTGTCTTTTGGCAGAGGAGGAGGAGGGGATCTCTCTGGCTGACATGGAACATAAAAAAAAAAAATACTGAAGTATGCCAGAGCTGAATTTACTGATAAGCATGCTAGGTGTAGGGGGGAAGGGGAAGGAGCATGTGTTAAAAAAAACCTGTATTGGGTTCAGTTTTATTAGCACATTAAATTTCATCAGAATGGTAATATACTGCTCCTTATTTCAGATACCACATTCTGATATGAAGTCAACTCAGGTGCTATAGTTTGTGCGAACATAGGAATAGTTTCTGTAGAATCCATTTGTGAAGGGTTCTGATCATTTGCTGTCTTTGTGCTACAAGCAGTCTACAACTTGAGTGTATAAAAGGGCCAATATCATGCTTAAATCAACTGTAAATATACTTAGATATTTTTTAAAATTCTAAGACCATAAAGATTTTGCACCAGTCCTCTGTTTAAAAGTGTTTAAGTGCCTCCAGCAGATGTAAATGAATGTGGCTGGTTTTTAATGCCCTTTTTCATGATGGCTCAGAACGATACACCTCTAGATTTGCTGCTGTGCGGCTTCTTTCAGATTAGTTCACCATCACAGCAATGTGTTTCCCACAGTGAAAGGTGTGAGATTGTTGCAGATTTAAGGATGTGATCGCTGCAGCATGAGATTCTTGCCAAAGGGGTAAAATTGGCTTGTCTGTCTCCCTATCAGTTACTTCTGAGTCAGTGAGATCTGGGACCACAGATTAGTGAAAAAAATGTGATAGGATTACCAGAAAGGCAACATCTTTTTCTGTTGCAGTAATTAAACAGGAAATGAATTTTTCTCCAATTATCTGAGTTTTAAAATTCACTGGCAACACTGTTAAGTAAGATGGTGCAAGGAGAGGAATATAAAAATGCTTAGTATGGTTAGGGGCAAATACAGCCTTCACTTTTGCTGTTTTGCTGACAGAGGCTAGAGTGAGAAGGTTGTGCAGGTTATCCCATGTGCAGTACAGAGCTAAAGTATGTGCCAGGTACCTGTGTGGCAGTACACAAGATGTTGGGGGCACGGGGAGGCCAGTGGTAAAGCTGGAGAATCTGCTGCTAGATGGATCTTCCTGTCGTCTCCCCGATGAGAAGGCTGTATAGAGACTCCATAGCAGAAATGTGGGCTATGTGAGGATTCCTCCCCCTCCATGTCAGCCCAGGGAGTTTGGATATTAATGATGAACTCTCATGCTTTGTTATGAATATAATATAAATTGCTTCAGTCAGAAAGCAGAGTAGGGAGGAGTGTGTGACTCAAAGACTGGAAATGGAATATAGAGCCCTTTTCCTGTAGTGTACTAGTTTGAGTCTTACCTAAGGTGGTAATGACCAAGTAATTACCATTGATTGCTATTTAGTGATGTGTGTGAGGCAAAATGATGGTCTCATTATTGTTCTGAGTGACCAGGTGTCCATGTTATACAAAACTACCATCACAGTTACTTAGATTGTAATTACACATTATAGTATTTAGACTAAACTCTTCAGGGCAGGGTTTGTCCTGTGTGTATACACCTCTACCCCGATATAACGCGACCCGATATAACACGAATTCGGATATAACGCGGTAAAGCAGCGCTCGGAGGGTGGTGGGGGGGAACGGGACTGGGCGCTTCGACGGATCAAAGGAACTTCGATATGATGCGGTTTCACCTATAACGCGGTAAGATTTTTTGGCTCCCGAGGACAGCGTTATATCAGGGTAAAGGTGTATATATGTATAGAGCCTAGCCTAGTGCTACTACAAATAAATAATATTTTTCCCTATTAACTTTTTATGAAATTATATGTATACAGAGAGAGAGAGAACAAACAAATGTAAACTATACACAAACTTCTCACAATAATAAAACAAATAATAATAATAATGGGCAATTTCAGCAGAGAGGCCAAGGACTGAATGGGGATGAGAAGCAATCTCTCTAGGTCAGGGTTGAGGTCCATTGGCAGAGTGGTGGGCCAACAACTGCTTGGCCAGTAGACTGCTGCCTGTAGAGGGAAAGCCTGGATGTGTCTACATTACGCATAGATCTGGAGACTTTAATCTGCTCTCAACCTGTCCTGCACCTTTTACAAACACTAAATTTGCTTCTAAAAAACTGTAAAGGCTGGGATATTCAAAGGAGTCCCTTTGAAATCGAATGAGGAATGGGCTGTTAAATGGGAGTTAGATGCTTAAATGCCTTTAAAAGATGTCCCTTAACGCCCACAGGCACTTTGTAAAATTCTGGTATTAGTACTGAAGTGCCAAACAAACTGTGTGCATAAGCTGGTGCAATTCAACTGAATTCAGTTGATTTGCATCTGCTGCTGCCACTGGTGGACTTGGCGCTGTGTTTTTATTCAGAATGAGGATGACTGAGAGTGTTTGGAGACCTTTCTGAATGTAATGTTAGTGTAATGATCATTTGGTATGAAGGGCTTGGTTATTTTTATTTTATTTTATTTTAGACTACAATGATACAGAGGGTTCTTCATATGAAGAAGGATGGGGCTTTGGAAACAAAACTCTGGCTGATCTCTTAAAAAAGTGTCCAAATCATTTTCAGGTTGTTTCACCTATTAAACAGGGCTCAACTGTTATGTTATAGAGGGCACTGAAGTTTGTTGGCAGTGTCAGCAATGATAATTAGACATTCTTCAACTGCCTATCATGTAAGGGAAAGTAAAACAAGGGCGCTGAGAAGACAAGTCACTTCAAAAGAACTCCTCTGAAACTAAAGTCAGCTTTACTCTGCCAGTCCGCCTTTCAAATCTGTCTCCTCTTGCCCTCATTTTAAAAACAACTTGACATTTTAGCAACTTTTTAAAGAAATGGGGTGAAGTGTTTGGAATACATCAAAAGGTTGAAGCAGAGATGATCTGAGGAAGAGCTTCTTTATTAAATACCCTCTTTTTCTCTTACTACTGTGTAGCCAGATTAGGTCTTTGTCCCCTCTTTTTATGTAATGAAGTTTTGTTTTATTTCTCTTTGAGCCATATCTTAATCAAAAAAAGGGTTTTATAATAGAAATAATTGTATATGCAATTTCCAATTTCACTGCCTTTGTTTATGTAATTTATTATGTGACAGTTTTATACTTCTGTGGGAATCAAACTGTAATGCTGCCAAGAGTCATTTTATCCCAACTCTAGCCTGGAGCATGGTCTGTATGTTACTTACTAGAAAATGTCCCTATATAACACTTCAAGTATGATTTTTACTCTAAAATATTTCCAGACCCCCCCCAAAAAACCACCAAACCCACCCACCCAGCCAACAAAAAACTATTTTGAGGGAGTTAAGATTGAGAATACATACAAGTAATTTAGGGAAAAATGCACTGCAGAAATGTTATTCTCATTCTCCCAAACCAAGTGTTGTAAACATTGAAAATTCAGAGCTAAGGTTCAACTTTAAAGAAATCTAAATGTGTTAAGATATGGAAACACACAGTTAGGACACTCAAACAACCTTAACTCTTCCCTGTAGTGACACCAACCAACAATCATATGATTATGATGGAGGTATTTTAGTGTTTGTCAGTCCAGATGAGATTAAATTGATTTTTGAAGATCTGTTCAATATTGTTTTCTTATGTTGTCACTACAGAGCAGAGTTAAAGTTGTTCGGACAACTATATTGAAGGCTATAGTTTTGCATAAGTATAACCGTGGATAGAATTTGGCCTTCAGAACCTTTATTACTCACGATGAGCCACAAGCCAAGCTTGACTTTTGAATCCAAGAAAGAGTTTGGAAAAAACACCTTTTAACTTGTAAATTGAGAAAATTTGGTCTGGAAGTCGCTGAGAACGTGGAACCCCGCAGTGTTATTTTTAGTGTAGAACTGTTCTAATACTTTAAAGTACTCACCATTGGCCTAACCTCACTCCCACTGAATTTGATGGTAAAACTCTTATCAGTTTTGGGAGGAGCAGACTTAAGACAATGCTGAGAGCTTTTGAAAAAAATCTTTATTTCAGTTGCCCTCATTGTTGCTCCCCAGGTAAAATTTTTTACTTGTGAGAAAATCCTTTGTGTTATTGACTTGTCAAGACTTAAAAGGAGGAAAAAGTTCTCACTCTCTCTTTTAGAATATGTTAATAACTTTCCTTCTAGAATGGAATGCAAATATTTTATTCAGGATTCCATGTAAGCAAGAGACTTATAGCTTAAGTCACAAGTTGTAAGAGACTTCAGAAATTTTCTATGAAGAGTATCAGTCACTTGAATTGAATTTTTTAAGAAAGAAAATAATGTATTAACTTACTTATGTGCTACTGAAGTTTGTATTTTATATGTAGTTTATGATTATTTTTGGATGTCTTCCAGAGACAGATGGAATCACATTAAGAATTCAAACCAGCGTAAAAGGACTTTTGGATTCAGATATACTGTTAAAGCTGTCATTTCACTTGCCGGTCAGTTATCCCTCAAGCCTGCCGAATATCTCCATTAATTCAGAACAGCTTACAAGGGCACAGTGTAAGGATGTGAAAGAAAGATTACTTGAGCAAGCCAAGAGACATCTTTCTGAACCCATGGTACATGAGCTGGTCCTCTGGATACAACAGAATATTAAGCACATCATTGGGCAATCAGAAACTTCAGTTTGCAATGAAAAAAGTACTTTGTCAAGATGCATAAGTACAGAGGATGGTATATGTACTATCCTTTTGCATTTAGATCACATGAGAGCTAAGGCAAAATATGTCAAAACTGTGGAAAAATGGACTTCAGATCTAAGGCTGACTGGAAGACTGATGTTTATGGGCAAGATAATACTGATTCTTCTGCAAGGAGACAGAACCAGCATTAAGGTGCAAAAACATTGAATGTTAACTAGTCGAATTGATTTACCGCTGAGAGCTGTGTATCTGAATAGAATACCTTGTGTTTGTTTTTCTAACATTACCAATTTTGGAAGCAGGTTGACTGATCATTAGGGGTATACATAGGCCCAATCATTTCTTTATTCCTGCAAGCTCCAGTATTCTTTCAGTGGCAAAGGGGGGGGGATATCTTAAAATGACTGGAAAATTACAAAAAGATAGTGTGTCCCATTGGTAAAGAGGTGTGGAGGAATATGATATAAAACAGGGATCGGCAACCTTTGGCACGTGGCTCGGCCAGGGTAAGCACCCTGGCGGGCCGGGCCGGTTTGTTTACCTGCCGTGTCTGCAGGTTTGGCCGATCGCGGCTCTCACTGGCTGCGGTTCGCTGCTCCGGGCCAATGGGGGCTGCGGGAAGTGGCGTGGGCCGAGGGATGTGCTGGCCGCAGCTTCCCGCAGCCCCCGTTGGCCTGGAGTGGCGAACCATGGCCAGTGGGAGCTGTGATCGGCCGAACCTGCGGATGCAGCAGGTAAACAAACCGGCCCGGCCCGGCCCGCCAGGGTGCTTATCCAGGCGGGCCGCGTGCCAAAGGTTGCCAATCCCTGATATAAAATGACTGTATGAGTTCATGATATCTGCGAAAAGTAAACAACCCCTTAAAAATATAGACTTAAACTCAATGGAATGGAACTATTATTTCTTCTTTGATTGATTGCCCCTTTGTGTAGTACACTTTTGTTCCTTCAGGTTGTGCATGCACTGAGGGCTGGGGATGTTTCTCTAGCAGTATCCATATGGTCAGTGCATGCACCACAGCTCTCATTGTGCTCTTCACCAAGGGAATAAAGGGGCTTGCCAGACCACCACCATCTTAATTCCTTTTTACCACTTGTGCTCTAGGATGGAGCTTCAGTGTTTGTGCTGACTACTTCAGCTTTTTCCTGTTCAAAATACGTTTAAAATTCTTTGTAGCTAGTTTTCTTAATTTAGTTAATTAGGAGATAGTCTAAGGGTTGGTTCCCTTGGGAATCCCCCTTTGGGGTGAGGAGCCATTTTCCATATCTGCCCTGCCCCAACCTTCCAACAGTTGTGGGAAGTATGCCAAGGATCTTCAGCTTTAGGAGCTAGGATATGTGCTACAAGTCATTCCCAGTCACAGACTATCCCAACACTTGTCTGTACTGCCTGGGGGAAGAGCACATCCCTTCCAGGTGCAGTATCTGTAGGTGGTTCATGAGTAGGACTAAACAGTCCAGGAAGTTTTGGTGCTGCAGGTTCCTGATGGAGCAAGCCATGAAGGCGGGAGCAACCTCTTAGTGGGGAGACCCCCTATATTACTATCTGAAGAAGGCAGGAGTGGCCCCCTTCTTCTTCTTCTTCTTCTTCTTCAGTTCTGAGTCGTTCCAAGATCTCTGCTTCCCCACCCCCACTTCCCTGGCTCTGAGACACTCTGGAGAGCAGGGCCAAGGCAGATGGGGGGTGGGGGGATGGGATGGGGAAGGGAGACATAAGTGCTCTCATAAGGACAAGAGGGAAGGTTCCCCATCCAAGTCCTCTAAAAAGCGGCAGAAGTCCCTGTCCCATACCAAGTCATTGGATGCTTTGTGCTCCAGAGTGGGACTTCTTCTAAGGGCAAAACCACAGCATCCACTGGAAGAAGCAGCCCCGGTACAACACCAAAACCCTTCTTGGTACTGTTGGATAGGGCATCCTCTTTGGAAATCTGAGTGGTGGAGACATCTCTATCAACTCCAGTTTGCCTCCTGGCTCTAGAAGACCTTCTACTGCTCCTGGAACCAGAATCACCGCACCCTCTCTAGGCTTTAATGGCTGGAACCAGGACTCTAGCCAGTACCAGTTATCAGTTCAGTACACTTTTCCATCCCTGCCCTCATGCAGGGGTTGAGCTAGACTGTCTTTGGTACTGTTAGCGAATAGAGGCAGGCCATCTCTGCCTCCTCTGGTACTGAAGGCTCCCCTATTGGATCCAGGATCAGAAACTTTGGAATTGGAAGAGGACTACGATAGACACCCTGCCCAGATAGGCTCCTTGAGAGGATTCAGCCCAGACAGAGTATCAGGAGTGTCGAGCACATCTTACTATTCTCATTCTAGAGAACAACCCCCCTACAGCCACTGGTACCCAATACCCTGGGAGCTGGTTCTGAGCAGTTAGATCCCACAAAAGCAGTATTGTGTCCTGGAAGACTCACAAGATCTCTGTCCAATATATCAACCCCATGATACTGAAGACCTGAGGGACTCTAGGGTTTCCAGAGTAGAGTAGGATCTTTATCAAGCTCTTCAAGAGCCACAACTCCAGCAGCATGAGGAAGAGGAGTGAGGGGAGAGAATCTTTCTGTGACTTTGTCCTCTTCTCTCTCTGATGACGTGGTGATTCTAACTTCCCCGCTGCACCATGACTATCCCAAAGCCTTTCAGGACTTAATTAACAGAATGGCAGTCGCTTCAGATTCCTCTGGAAGAGGTCCAGGAAGCATAACACAAACTGCTGGACATTTTACATAGTTTAGGTCCAAGCAGAATGGCTCTTCCTATAAACAAGGCCATCCTCAAACCTGCCAAGGCCCTCAGACACACAGTGGCCATAAGTCCATCAGTGTCCAAGCAGGCTGAAAAAAGGTATTTTGTACCAATGAATGGGTTAGAATACTTATTCTTTCATCCATCTCTCAACTTCTTGATGGTGTCAGTGGCCACCAAGAATACTAGACAGAAACAATCTAGGTCTAATCTGCATGAGAAAGAAGCTAAGAGGCCTGACCCCTTTGGGAGAAGGGAATATTCCTCAGCCTGCCTACAATTCTGAGTTTCCAACTACCAAACTCTAATGGCCAGTTATGATTTCACCATCTTTGCCAGCTTCGCTGTTGAGATTCCTCAGGATGTTAAAGACCAATTCCAGGCCCTGATTGACGAAGGTAGGCTGGTAACAAGATCGGCACTTCAGAGTGCCCTATGTGGCTGACACACTGGCAAGATAAATTGCGACTTCTGTGGTGATGAGATGCGTGTCATGGCTCTTCTTGGGAATCCCAGAGGAGGTTGAGACACATAGAAAGGGTGCCAAAATCAACCAGTGTTCATGTCCGAACCTCTGCTACCCTTGAAACCAGTGTTTGATGGGACTTTTTGAGAGCTGTGCACCAACTGTCCCTCTAGATCTACACAACCGCTCTGCTTTTCCCCCTCCCTCTGGAGGCTGACTTTCCTACTACTTATCCGTCTGGACAGAAATCACAGTGGACAAATGGGTGCTAGAGGTCATCTCCTCAGGGTACATCATCCAGTTCCCTTCCCTGCCCAACCTCATCCACCTTCTCACCCTCTTCAGGGACTCCTCTCACCAGAGGATTCTTCTGCATGAGGGAAAATGGCTCTTTGAACTGGAGGCAATAGAACTAGTACCTCCAGCAGCAAGGGGAAAGGGATTCTACTCAAGGTATTTTCTTGTCCACAAGAAAACAGAGGATGGAGACCCATTCTGGACCTCAGGGAACTGAACGAGTTTATCCACTGTGTAAAGTTCAGGATGGTGACCCTGTCATCTATTATCCCATCACTAGATCTAGACAATTGATTCACATCCCTCAGTCTCAAAGATGCCTACTTTTATATAGGCATTCAGCTGGCACACAGGAAATTCCTGAGATTTATGGCCAGACAACAGCACTATCCATACAAGGTCCTCACCTTTGGGCTTTTGATGGCAGTGTGCATGTTTACTAAGGTTTATTGGTAGTAGCAGCTCACTTTCACTGGCAACAGGCAATGGCTTACTCATACCTAGATGACTGACACCTAAAGTGCAATCTTACCAGGAAACATGGGATGCAACCAGAATGCTAGACCTCAGAGTGAACCTGGAAAAGTCCACCCTGGAACTCTTACAGTCGATAGAATTCATTGGGGCAAGGTTGGGTGCTATTACAGCATACTTGCGAGATGACTTCTTCCTCTCCATCATCAGGCTCGTACGAATCTTTTGAGCTCCAGAATGTCTGTCTGATCCTGCCTGACACTAGTGGGTCATATGGCCGTGAGCACTTATGCGACTCCATTTATGAGGCTTCATCTCAGATGTTTACAAGGCTGGCTATAGTCTGTTTACACTCCAAGCAAGTACAGTCCTGACTTGCTTGATATGATTCCCAAAGGGTCTTAGCCTCCCTTACTTCATGGGAGGACAGAGCAAGGGTGTGCGTAATGCAGGTAACATTCAACCTACTGCTCCCAACAAGGCCAGTAACAACTGCTGCATCCTGTTTAGGTTGGAGTTGCACTGCTGGAGGGTCAGGTTGCCCAAAGAAACATGGTCCCCTCAGGGGTCTACGCTTCATTTCAGTGTGTTGGAGCTAACAGCAGTCAGATTGGCCTGCAAACAATTCCTTTCTTGCATCTGCAGATAGTCAGTCCAAATACAGTTGGATAACATTATGGCAGGCTGTTATATCAATGAGCATACTCCTCTCAGCTCTGCACAGAGGCCATTGCCGTTTGGGACTGGTGTATTCCCATGCAGATTACCCTAACTGCTGTCCACCTCCCAGTGATCCGTAACACCTGGCAGATTGAGTAGACGTTTCTCCACCGAACTTGAGCGGGAGCTGCATGATGTGACTCTGTAGGTGGTGGTCCAGGTGTGGGGACCTGTTTGTGTCCTTCTATCCATGGACCTGTTTGTGTCCCCTCTAAATCATAAGTGCAAAGAGTTCTGTTCCAGAGATGGTTGTAGCCTGGGCTCTCTGGGTGACATGTTTCTTATACAGTGTTTGGGAGTCTTGTGGTACACATTTCCCCCATTCCCGTCTTACCTCGATTGTTGACCAGACAAAATGCAAGTCATCCTTATAGTGCCAGCTTGAGCCTGACAAGTCTTGTACTCAATGCTTCTGCAACTATCAGCCTGTCCTTCTCTCTACCTTCCCCTGATATATCCGCTACTAACCCAGGACAAAGGATGGACTAGCCTTCTCAACCCAGTCATGCTTCATTTGAGGACATAGTATTTGGAAGCTGTTGGAGTTAGAGAGGGCCTTTTCATCCTAAGTCCAGGACATCCCCTGCGTAGCTTTTGTATCTCTACCAGGAGATGTTATAAAGTGAAGTGGAATAGGTTTATGTTGTTGTGTAAACAGGCTAAGACCCCAGACATACTGGGCTACCTCTTGTCCTTACAATACTCGGTGTTGCCTATTAGCTTCCTCCAAGTACACCTGTTAGCCATCAGCATGTTTCATTTTCCAATAGATGTCTACTCTGTATTTTCCCACCCAGTCACTGCCCATGTCCTGAAGGGTTTAAGACTTCCCTCTGGTATCAAAATTGGTACCATCCCGGGACTTGAACCTTATTTTATCAACCCTCACTGCCTCATTCCTGAGGCAGTTCCAATCATTTAATAATTGTTTGTTTTTTTTATATTAGTCCAACTCAGAAAACCTGTGGTGAAAGATTAATAACAGAAGTGTTTCTATCACTCAGAACACCATGAGCTTATACTGAATGCTTTTGGGGGTCTAATCTCCTTGGCCCTACTAGAACAGTGGTTCTCAAATTTTTGTACTGGTGACCCCTTTCACATAGCAAGCCTCTGAATGCGACCCCTCCCTATAAATTAAAAACACTTTAAAAAATATATTTAACACCATTATAAATGCTGGAGGCAAAGCAGAGTTTGGGGTGGAGGCTGACAGCTCGCAACTCCCCATGTAATTACCTTGTGACCAGTTTGAGAACCCCTATGCTAGAAAGATATTTTCCTTTGTGAAGCCCCAGTCCACCAGAGCACTTTAGAATGTGCTTAATTTTAAGCACTATGAGTAATCCTGCCAAGTCAGATCAGACTCTGTACACTTGAGATGAGCACTTTCCAAGTTTGTTTGGAATATTCTGAAATAGTCTCTGTGCATGTAAAATAGATCTTTAAGGAGGGAGGGATAGCTAAAGGGGGGGTAAAAATCTGTCTGGGGATTGGTCCTGCTTTGAGCAGGGGATTGGACTAGATGACCTCCTGAGGTCCCTTCCAACCCTGATATTCTATGATTCTAAGTATACCTCGAAGATGTTATAGCTGACATTTCATACTCTGATTTTTTTTGTCATTTAGGAATACTTGATTCTTCAGAAAACCTCTAAGGTAGATGTGGACTCAAGCGGAAAGAAATGCAAAGAGAAAATGATTAGTGTACTGTGTGAAACAAAAGTACAGACAGAGCATAAAAGGTATAATTTAGTATTATTGCAGATAGAAAAGCAACCGAACTGATAATTACATTCTGACAAATCTAGGCATATTCATGTGTGTTCTTGTACAATTTAGGTTTCAGGCATTTGAAGTCAAAGAATATTCAACTTTGGATGAGCTACAAAAGGAATTTGAAGCTGCAGGACTTACTGATCTTTTCTCTGAATTTGTGCCTGCTTTGTTAAAATAAATTTGTAAGAAAACATTGGAATCTTTGACTATAGCAGCAGTTGACTGTAAAAAGTGAGAAGATAAAATGAAATGTTTGTTGGGGAACATCTTTAAAGCCGCTCTGGAGCAAAATGCCAAAGAAGAAGACATCTACTTGCAAGAAACAAAAGGCAATTCACATGTTATGAAAAGATCATGTTTTTGACTGTGCATTGACTTTTGACAGGAAATGCTGAGTTTAACAGTTAACAATATGATGGATGGTGGGGAAAAATCACCATTCCTTTTCTCTGAGGTTCAGTTAGAATTGTATCATCTCCAGTTGTCCTGTAATTAAAGTATATTTGTCAAGATATTTGGTTTCATTCTTCTTTTTTCAAATATATCCTTATGAAGCTGGTTCTTTAACTTGCACAGCTAGAAAGATCTATTACTCTTGCTATTCAATAACTTTATAAAAATCAGCAATAATATGAATATGCATTATAATTAACATGGTTTAAAAATAAAAGCTTAGAATAATTAAAGATAAATACTTTTTTGAACCCTCTATATCTTGCCATCCTGAATCTGCTGCTATGTATCTCCTCCATTTGTGTTACTCCATTAAACATTTTACAATTGATTTAAATAGTAAGGGTTAAGATTCCAATTGTAAAAGTATCAGGATGGAAAAAGCAAGATTGAAACTGGTTTATGAATTTTTTGCTTTGAGGCTGCACTACTAGGATGATTATATCAGGGGGGTTTTCCCCTTAATGGCTGGAGGGCTGGGGCTAGCCAAACCTGATTACTGAATGAGCCACACCTGGGAGAGATTAGGGTGATTGCTCTATAAAGACCAGCAGGAGGCTGCAATGTAGGGGGCATAAGGGAGGTGGCTGGCCCAGTTACTATCATGTGAGCTCAGTGCCTCTGCTGGCAATAAGGCTAGAAATTATGAAATTACTTGTAAAACTCTTTTCAAAGAGTTGTATAGTTTTATGAGGTGACAAGTTAAATGAACTCTAATTGTTGGACTGTGCAGACCTTTGGGCAGTTAGGGCCTGATCCTACAAGCCAGTTAAGATTGTGTGGACATAAGGGTCCATACTGGCTTATTTATTTGCAGGATAAAAGCATAAAATATTTTCCAAGTACCATTTGAATTTAGGGCATACTATTTTAATAACTCTCATGGTCCAGAATGTATAAAAAGTCTCAAGTTGGGAATTTAAGTTGACTGGAAAGGTGAAGCCATGTTTAATATTTTCTTTAAGGCATGATGACTCTAGATGGTCACTGCAACAAGAAATTGGTATGCACTGTTACATGCTTTCTTAGACATCAAACATCTTTCCAATTGTGACCATGAATTTCAAAAGTCTAACACACTTTTAATTTGAAATGAACATTCTAAAGAGGACGTTAACATAAAGGCCTAGACGGATAATTGTTTACTTCTTTGGAAATGAATAATAGTTTTGAAGGAAATGATTTAAATTTGTTGGTTAATATTCTTCCAGGGGGTTTCAGTATTACAGGAGGAAAGGAGGAAACTTAGAAACTTACTGAAATTGCATGACTTTTCAGCTATTAATGAACAAGAAATTTAAACATTTCTGGTCTGATGAGTCTAGAAATTCAAGTTTACTACCTAAATGGGCAAGGAGCTCACCTGCTTGTTTAAGCAAGAGATAATGAGAATCAGGCCCAGAATGTTCATCTCTTGCTTTAAGTGATATATTTCTATACAAGCAGTTTAGCTCTTTGCCCATTTAGGTAGTATACTTGAATTTCTAGACTCACTTGTTGGACAAGAAATATATACAATTCTAGTTTGTGAATAAACCCCCTTTCACAATTTCTCTAACTCAGGCATCTCTTCACAACACTTAATTGTTAGCACAGAAAATATTTTTCACCAGCTTATGTTTTACTTCACCGTAATCTCAATAGATTCTTAATGACCTTTACAAACCCACTTGTGTGACTTCTATTTGTTTTTGTAATAATACTTAGCTCTTCTCAAGTTCAGAATGCTTTATAATCAATATCTATTTAACCTTGCCGCACCTCCTTGACAGAGGTAAGTAAAATCATCCATTGTATAAATTTGGAAAAGCTGGGTCTCACAGTATCCAACAATGGCATTTCATTTGATTCTAGGTCTGATAGTTATTCAAACATGCAATCTATAATGCTTGCTCACCAGCAACCAAATCCCTTCAGATGTTTCTTGTTTGCTTTATGGACTCATTCAAACCGTTTTAAGTCATCTTGTCTCCTTTCTACAGATGGAGAAGCTGATCTATTGAGGTTAAAAGAATTCCCAAAGCCCTAGAAGGAGTCATTATCAGAGGGGACCCAACCATGTTCAGTGTTAGATCACACCTCTCCCTTTAGGTGTGTTCCAAAAACCAGTGTTTTAATGTTTGAGATTTCAAATGCATAATGGGATGTGACTTATTCTTTCATCCATCTCTCAACTTCTTGATGGTGTCTAGTTTTTTTTTTTTTTTTTTTTGGAGTTCATCAGGCTTTAAGGAGTTGTTAGGCAATTTTTATTTAAAAACATTATTTTTATTTGATAACAAAATCTCTTAACAAGCCTTTCACTGTGTAGTATTTCCAGTATTTCATGCATCAGAAAGCAAAATCTGACCTAAACAGGTTTTAAAAAGCATTTTTCATCTCTTATTTTAAAATGACTTCTTAGGAAAGAGGAAATCCAACTTTATAGCATGGCTAGTGTAAGTGAGTCTCTGAATTTCTACCTTTGTGATACAGAATAACAATAAAACACAAGAGCCTAAAAATGTTAAAATAAAAATAGGGTTTATTATACACTATTGCATTAGCTAGTCCCAACTTAAAAACCAAATAACATGTTGGTGGAATAGGAGACCTTCAGTAGATATGAGTAGTCAAATGAGCCACTGTCCAAAGTCAGAAACTCAGAACACTAAAAGACTAATGGAAATTCATGGTGGTAAAGTGAAGTGTTGTTCACTTTTATCTTCACCAGTGCCTTGAGCAACATTAGCAATAGAAGCTTTGCAATAAATTTACCTCAGTCTGCAAAATTATATGCTGTAAACTACACTGGGCAAAATCTTAGCTCCCCAGTCTGAATAGTTAGCGCAGAAAAATGAATAAGCGGATGAGTCCAGTGTAACATCAAAATCTGTATCAAAATCTTAGCCAGTGAAACCTTATTTAGGGCTTAATTCAACACCCATTAAAATAATTGGAAATGGATCAGGTCCCTGCTGATTAGGAGGTCTCCTCAGACTTGCATATGATCAGAAAAGTGGCTGGAGTTCTTTTGCGCAAAGGATGTGGTGCTCATTCTAGCAAGGCTGGGTGCAGACTCGCTGAAAGTCTGATCTTTCTCACAGTTGAGCACTAATAACTGTGTAAAGAAAGCAATTTGCAGTGCACAACTGACACACAAGCCCACGTGTGGTTCACTGCTGTGTGTTTGCAACTTGTCAGGCCTGACATACTCATTACATCAAATACTGGTGTCATGATATTTATTTAAAAGGTGACATGTAATATATCATTTATATCACACTTGTCACTAATGACACTATGAAATGTTGGTAACGACTCGGTAGGTGAAATTATGGATACTCTCTGATAGTATGTCCTGGAGAGTGTAAACATACAAAGGTGACAAAACAGGTTTCTTCTGTTTAAAGAGAAAAGAAAATATGGTGCTAGATGCATGTTCATGAAAGAGTGCTCTGTCCTGCTGTCTCCAAGTAAAGCCAGTGGCTAACCTTCTTGCATCTTTACAAGGCGGGAGACATGACGCTAAGAGCAGCCCAGTGCCAGAAGGCAAGGAGCTCACTGGTATCAGGTAATGAGATTCACTGACCAGTTCAGTGTAGCCCAAAACACTATGGTTATAATCTGTAACTAAAAGGTGTCATGTCCCCCCACAGATTTGTTTGCTTCCCAGCAGAAAATGATAGTGAAGTAAAGGGAAGCCGCAAGAGCGGTCACACACCCCTCCCCAGAAGCGCGTATGCCTCATTTCCAGTGCCTGGAGCAGCTGGTGGAGAGGTAAATCACCGCGAGGGGAGGGAGATGGGGCTGGGGCATGCTGCTGCCCCTCCCCCCCCCCATTTCTGCAAACACAGAGCTGCCTGGCAGCTCAGTCTTGTTGACTCTGCAGCTGGACACCACCTCCTGGGTCCTAGTTCTGGTTTTCTTCCCTGGCTCTGTGTGCTGGGTGCCATGTTTTCTGTACAACAGTGAGTGTCTGCGATGGGCAGGGTAAGAGGAGTGGAGCAAAGGAGGTGTGGGGAGTGGAGTGGGATAGGGCAGCGGGAGAGGGATAGGGGACAGTGGGGAGACGGGAAGGGACAGTAGGGAAGGGGGATGGAATGGGGAAAAGAAGGGGATAGGAGAATGGGGCGGGGGAAGCAAGAGCCCAGCATGCACGCTTCCCCCAGCAGCAGTTGGGGCTCCCCCATTAAACAGGCCAATTGAACCCCCCACTCCAATGAGCCCCTGCCCTGCACCTGGACCACCCTGACAAGCAGGCCTGGCCCTTGCGCTGTGTCAGGGTCGGGGGGGTCCTCTCCCACCTGCCTCCAGCCAGTGGCCTGCACTCCACATTGCCATGCTGGATCTTCCACATTTATTTATTGACAATAAAATTTGCAGAATTTTAAAATAATTGTGTGCAGAATATTTTTGTGTGGAACAGAATTTTAAATTTTTTGGCACAGAATTCCCTCGAGTACATCTGATAGTTCTGTGGAAGTTCCTAACTGAGGGAAAGTCAGCCGTGGCTGGGAAAAAGGAAGACTGGTGACAGAAACCATCTTGAACAAAGCATCTACCTTGCTGGAGTAAGTTTTAGACTTTTAGATGCGTTTTTTCACTTTTATATTCTTGTCACCCTTTCTAAATTTATTCCTTTGACTTGGCATCACATAACCCATGTCCCAATGTTAATTCATTTGTTTTATTTTTACTATAAACCAACCCAGTGCTGTTTAAATGGGAGCGTGTATTTATCCCAGTTAAGTCAACAAGCTGTGATGTGCCTTTGTGTCTTTAGAGGAACAAATAAACATTATTTATTTTTCTAGAACTGTCCAGGAGAGGGATGGACATTACAGAGCATGCAGTTCTGAGAAAATTTGGGACTGGGAATGTATTGTATTCACCCCATCAGTAGTAACCAAGACTGCTAGTGACTAGGGAGTGTGACTGGTGTGTTGCTGGCTGGCTGCTGAGGTCAGAGTTGCTGGACCAGGGTCTGCAGTTATACGCTGGCACTCAGGGTGTGACTTGCATGAGTGTTGCTGACTGTGAATGTCCCGGGCAGAGAGTTACAGTAAGAAAGCATTTGAGGCACCCAGGGTTACAGGGCACTCAGTGACTAAACCCCTCACTGGTCTGGATTGCACCTCAAACTCTGACAACAATAAGAAGTTTTATTGTTCCTCCAAGAGGGTACTCTTGTAACCCTCCCAGCCAGTATGAAAAGCTGTAGCACAAATGGGACTTGGGAAAGTTGCGCTTCCCTTCTGGTACCTGTCTTCATCCTCTTGCCAAAAATAGTTGATTACTTGTTCCAAGCAGCTTGATCATCTGTCAGTTTCAGGAGTCAGCAAAGGCATTTTATGCACTAGCCTTCTATACTCTCTTTAATTTGTTACTCATTTTACTTAAATTGGCCAAATCAACAAATCCATTCAATATAAGAAATGACTACAGTTTTTCTGCTTAGTTTGACATGCTTTAAAGAATTACAAATCTGATCAGTATGCTACTGTTTAGACAGAAGAACAAGAACAATAAACTAGATGGCAGCCTGATTCTAGCAAAGCAAATGCTATTTGTTACCCATCAATCAGTCCATTAGTTTGAAGAGTATGAGGGCATCTTGTATTCAGGCAAATAAACAGTATTTTTAAAGGTTGTACTTTTCTGAAAAGGCTGGAGTTATCTATTAATGATGATTTGTTTGTATGTGCTATATGTATGTTTATGGCAAAAGTGGGGAAACCTTTTGGCACAAGAAGCATACACTGAGGTGCCACATAGCTGTGGCTTCCAAAGAGAAAGGAGAAATGGAAAGAAAAGGAAGTGTGCAGCAGGAGTTGGGAGGAGCAGAAGGAATATCACGGAGTCTTGAAACACTTTTATTTTTGTGAAAAATAAGTAAACTCTGCAAATACACAGCTATGTTTTAGCAAAATGTTTGGGATTTTACTTTTCTCATTTCTTGTTTTTCTCAACTTGTATTTTTTCTTTGTTCCTCTCCTTTCTTCATGTTTTCTTCTTCTTGCTCTGGTTTTCCTTATCTGTGTTGGTCTGTTGTCTTCTTCATGTGCTGCTGTTATAAAGCTTCAGGGAGTGCAAACATTGGGTAAGCTACTCTCACACCGTTTGGCCTGTGAGCCATCTTCGGTAAGGCTGGGTCTGGTATGGAGGTTGTAGTTTGGCTAGCTCCAATTATGGCTGGTAATGGAAATAGTATATAAACACATAACCTGCTAATTATTATATTATGGTATTGCCTTATATGTAAATTGTATAGACCTCTCTCAGCTAGCGTTCTTCACTATAGCATGAAGTAATCGTGATACTACATGATTATGTTGATCATCTGTTACCTTTGTGCAGTGGCAGTAGCTGAACAATGTGCAAACTCCTGAAAATTACGGGAATGCACATGGCAGTATGTACAAAGCCTATACTGTGTATCGCCATCTGAATCAAGCAGTTCACATGGTTTTTTTTTTTTAAAGGCCAAGTTTAGCAAATAAGAGCTCAGACTCCTGGTGCAATATCTATAGAAACAAAGCTGATTTAGCTATTTGACTGGTCAAGTTAAATAATTCAGAATTGAGGTTTGATTGGTCCCCTCCCTTCCTCCTCTTTGAGTTCTTGTGTGTGGGTTTATGTACCCTGAACTAAATGAAAAAAGAGCATATGTGATGGATCTGCAAAGCAGGGGACTACAGCTCCCACCAGCCCCCCTCCCTTGCATTTCCCCTTCCCCAGACCAGATAAAGGGAAAGATCCTGAACATGGAAGTGGCCTGGCTCTGTTTGGGAGTGGGAGCTGCATAGTATCAGAGAGCTGGAGAGAAGCCCCAGGAACTGTGGCTAGAGCTGCATGTGAAACAGATTGTAACTTCCAGGTGATACAGTTGGATGCAGGTCTGTGTGGGACATAGGGGAGCAGTAGGGGCTGGGCAGGGAGCTGGTGGAGAGGGGCCCCAATGAGAGACGCTAGTTGAACCTGGGCTGGAAACTTGCAAGCCCCTATTTGCTTGCAAGGCACTTGGCCTGAAGAGGCCTCTAACTCTCAGTTGTACTGCCCGGGGACACAAACAGGAACTGTTACTCACTTTGAACTCTAACTGTTTAAGCCTCTTTACCTAGGATATCGGCAAACTTTCCCTTTCCTGCCAGCCCTACTAAAATACACTTTCACTTAGCCATGTCTCAATGATTACTGGGACCCACCAGGGTTAGCACCTCTGAGGCCTAGCTGATCAGGCATCTATGATGCTTGCCTGACTTGCGGCACATCAGGCACACTACTGGCACCGTAGGGCTTTGGTGTACTGGCCAGCCACAATAATTATAAAGAAATGTTATAAAATATTAAAACCCAAACCCTCTCCTCATAATTGACATGATCAGCTGACTTTTGGAGCAGGAACAATGAAATACTCAGCCTATTCTGGAAGCCTTTTATGTTTCTTGATGTAGACAATGGAACTCTGTTATGTATCTCTGACCTTGCACTTAATCTGGACACATCCCCCCTCTCCAAGTTCCTTAGCTGACTGTGTGGTTCTGCACATTGAGTGGAGCAGGGGTGGATCTAGTCCCATAAAGTTGCCCACTGGTGACTTGCTCTGTGGGGACTGGGCAATAGGAAAGTGTGACGAGATCCCCAGGGTGCAGCCTCGGACTGTGGGACCGCTGTGCCCCCTTAACTCTATCTACCCTGGGCTGTCTCTCACAATACCTTGCTAGTGACCAGCAGCAAACCTCTCCAGGCGCTGTTATCACTCAGCACAACAGCATGTGGAGCCCCACACCCAGCTAGATTGCATGAATGCTCCCAGAGCCACTCATGAATCACACAGATAAAGGCACCAGAGCCAAATCCCCCCAGCACTGTATCCCAGGAATATACCGTCTTGCACTGCTCATCAATGGAAAGTGGACATACACCAGCCTTTGTAAATCCTGAGCATACTTACCACACACTTCAGGCAAACTTGCTGGTAAAGATAAACAGTAAAACAAATGTATTGACTACAAAAGATAGATTTTAAGTGATTATAAGTGATAGCAAAAAGTCAAAGTTAGTTACCAAAATAAAATAAAAGTATGCAGTCTAAACTCTCAACCCTATTAGGCTGGGCAACATCTAGATTAAGCAGTTTTTCTCACCCCACTGGACATTGCAGTTCATAGTACACAGATTTCACCCTTGAAATCTGAGCCAGTTCCCTCAGTTGGAGTCTTCAGAGTGTCCATGTTGCTTTTAGTGTAGGTGGGTGAAGGAGAAAGGCCCAGCATGCGGCCACTGTGTTCTGTTTTATACCCTCAGTCCCATGTGCTTGGGGAGCACAAATCCAGGCATGTCTGGGGCCATTACTGAGTCTCCACGCAAGGCTGAGCAATTCCCCTGGTGTGGCCTCATGCAGGAGAGGCACTGAATTGTATCTCCCTTGCTGGACAATGGCTGTTGATGGGTTGTTTGACATCCCGCCCAGGCGTAGGTTACTTTCCTTGCTGTTGCTTCTGGGGAGCGAATATCTGGCTGGTCCCCCAACTTACAGCATGTTTTAGTGACAACCATACAACACAATTCTCATAACTTCATATGCATTAATGATATTAATGATACATATATTGATAGAGAAAGGACTTTCAGCAGATCATAACCTTTCCTCTGATACCTTACAAGGCATGTTTTCTATGTAAGATCACGATTATATAAAAGTGAGGAATATGGGGGTTATAGGATGCTCCCCCAAGGTATAGAATGTCACAGAAACATTCCGTTACTTTAGGTGGCTGCCCAGCTGGACAGTCTTTGCACCCTTTTAAAATACTTTTGATTTTAGGATTCAAGTGATGTTAAATCTTTTCATAGCTCAATTGCTTGTTTCAATTCAAGACATACATGGGGTCAAATTCAGAGCTGTGTAATTCAATTGAGTTGTTCCCTTTGACACCATAGCTATATTGGCTCCTGGTGTATGTTCTGTCCTTCGGAACTCAGACTGGGTTGAAGCTGAAACCAGAGGATGTTTTACCAACTATATTCAGAGATAAACCTGGTGAACAATAGCTTCTCTGAGTCAGTGACTGATGATTTCATACAGGCCCCCTTTAACTTCTTAAAATAAACCTGTCATCACTGCCTCCACAGACTTACCAGTCTGGGAAGCAAGAGGCCAGCAAGCTGGATCTTTTATAGCAGTGCAGAGAACTAACTCCAGAATTATTGGGTTAGTTATTTCTTTTTTTCTTTTTCAATATTTTAGGCAGATGCATCTCACCTGCACTATCTGTGCAATCTAGTATTAAGCCTGTCTGAGCCAAGAACAGGTTGTACTAAACTTACATAGTTTGGTAATATGGATAGGTATACACTAGTGACTAGACTGAGAGCCCCAAACCCACTTCACTAGCTGTTTCTGACAGGTCTGTAAGAAGCAAAAGGCAAGTGAGCTCATTCATTCATTGTTTTTAGCCTGTGTAGTAAATCTGATCAGACATGGCCAGGTGAGGCCAAACAGCCTGTGGTTTGTAGTTCAAGTATTTATAAGACACCAGCCTTCCTACAACCTAAACATAATGAGTGA